TCTCAACACTGAAGCTATTGGCAGCCACTGCAGCATGAGTTTAATCCCCAGCTACCCCACATGGCGCAGCAGACCTCTCCTTTCTTGCCCACTGCTCCCCTCAGTAGTGTATTTCAGTAAATCTGCTGTTCTGCTCCCTACTCATCTCTGGTGTATCCTCTCACCCCTACATCTATACCCCAGCTCTTGGATACATAAGTAAATAAATCTTTTTTTTAAAAAGTGACAACTTAATCTTTCGGGTTTTGTGCAGTTGCCACAACAATAGTTGTCCCAGACAACTATTGGAAGCTCTTTCATGCAGGTATCAGTCTTGGAATATGTGACGGTCGAATTCATTGGGGGACCTTAAATAATTCCTATGCATTTCTCTCAGGTTGTCTGTGTACTCTCCCAGGGTGCCCAGTAGACTGTTCAAAGTCACATTTTCTGGCAGTTGTTTCCACTGGTCCTTTACATTTCACCTTGCTGTAGTGTGGCTACATTTCTAAAGAAGCTCAGCAATACCCTAAATTGTTCTCAAGTTCAGTGACACTTCTGTGGCCTTTGCCTTACACAAATTTCCTGACGTATTGGACAATACTATTTATGAACTTGGGAAATTTTCTTTTTTTTTTTTAAAGTTGTTTAAAACCATCATATATTTCATTGCTTGCTTCTTTACTTTTACTTATTTTGGCCTACTCAATCTGTCTTGACATTGTAGCACACATAGCCTTCTACTGAAATAGTCAGTTTTCTTCTGCATTCCTGATGGAGGTTTTTGCCCTACCCTTTTCTCCCCGCCTACCAAACCACAGGAATCCTTGATGTAATATTCCAATTTCTTGGTTTCTAAATGTATTTTTTTTGAGGATTAGATTTACTTAGAATAGCCTTTCTTAATCAATGAGTATAAGGAAGTAATTCTGTAAATTTCTGTAATTTTTACATACTTGAGATGAGGTGTGGATCCACTCCCAGATCTTCAAATGCCACCTTAGTTACATAATGTATTATGTTTATTAGTTTATAGCTGCAAAAGTTCTAATGCATGTATTGACACCTAGTGTCCTCGTTATTGACCCTTTTGAATGGATCAAAGTATCTGCTAGGATGGTCCTCTCTACCTTTGCTCTTATTTCAAGTTGAGCCAGAAATCAGGCAGCGTGGAGAGGCTAAGCTGTGGTAACCAATGACCCTGACCTCCAAGGGTCTTCTACAGCAAAGGCCTGCTTCAGCTCTTTTTGTGACCTCTATGATGGAATAGTTTTTACTGGGATGGTCCTGGAGGGAACAAAGTATCAGCTCTTCAAGGTGCTCAGAATAATGGGAATCTGACCTTTCTTCAAAGTCCATATACACACACCAGTACATATGTATACACGTGTGTATGTGTATGCATGTCCAGTCACACCCCCTGTATTTGTAGATGGGTCTTTTAGGAGATAGTCCGGTTTTCATTAAGATGAGGTTGGCAGCACTTGTGACCCTGTAAAAGGAGGAGGGCTGTCTGACTGCCCACCACACCTGCTCTCAGCTAGATGCTCCCACGTGCAGGCTAAGCATGGAGCCTGTCGTAGCAGCCAGACATGACTGGAACGTGGACTTCCCACCCTAATGGTGACCAAGGGTTTGATTTCATTAAACAGTCTTTATTTTTTTTTTAAGATTTATTTATTCATTTATACAAGCACTGGGTACAGTCAGAAGCTTGGGAGGGTGAGAGGATTCACCAGAGCCAGAGTGGGGAACAGAACAGGCAGACTGATGAAATACACTGCTGAGGGGAGCAGTGGGTAGGGCAGGAGAGGTCTGCGCGCCATGTGGGACCCTCGCCGGTGGCCAGGAATCAGAACCAGCGCTCAACCGCTGCGCCACCAGGGGAGGCCCTAAACAGTCTATTTATAGCACCATGAGCCCCTGACGCTGAGAGTTAGTGAGTTTTTTGTGTCCAGAAATGAGCCATCTACCTTCTTAGTATTCTATTTTTTGTTAAAGATTTATCTATTTATGCATACTAGAACTGGGATACAGGCAGGAGGTGTGGGGGTGAGAGGATTCACCAAAGACTGAGTGGGGAACAGAACAGGCAGACTGACTGAAATACACTGCTGAGGGGAGTAGCAGGCAAGTCAGGAGAGGTCCATGTAACACCAAGTAATTTTTCCATTCTATTGTACATGCACACTAGATGATTTCATTAACATTTTCTATCCATGCTGGAATAACACTATTGAGACTGTGTTATCTTAACCCCTTGCGCCACCAGGGAGGCCCTTCTTAGTATTCTTAATTGTTTTATTTATCATATTCACATTTTAATCAATTCCCTATGAATAAGAATGCATTTTTGTTTTCATTGTGTTGTTGGCCTGGTTACTTTGGAGAATTGCTGTCATTGCAGGGCAGACTCATCTTACCAGTGATGCTGTTGTGTCTGTTCATTTGTTTAGTTCCATTTTTAACCCTCCAGGTTCCCCCCCACCCCATCAGATTCAGTCCTTGATTCTATGTATTGCTTGCTGTTTTGGGACCTTCTGTGTGTGTGAAGACTTGTATATATTATTTTTATGGTTTGCTCATTGAATTTTCCTTTTTACAGTACCTTTAATGTGATTTTCATAGGATGAATTATAGCTACTTATGACCATTTTTACTGATGTTTTCTTTTTTCTATTGTGTAGAGTTATCCTAACCCATTGTGAATAAGGGGGAACGGAGCATCTTTGTTATTCCTTGTCTCACTGTGAATGTTGATGTCACCTGTGGTTGTGTCAAGGATGTGGAATTGTGTTAAGGAAAATCTTCTGAATACTTTTTTTCATTATTACAAATGGAAGGTAATTGTGTCAGGTCCCACTCAGTATATATGTGGATTTTCATAGCATTTTTTACACAGGAATAGGAGATCATGGAAAACATTAACAGATTTCTTAAGATTGAGGTTTCCTTATACCTAGTGTCATCTTTTCCAAAAGTCTTGAATGGCTATGATCTATTTTTTCTTTCTCCCTTAGTCTCTTCCAGTTGTTTTTCCTCTTCTTTCAATACCTTTTGTATGGTCAAGCTGTGTTATTCCCTGTGATGATGAAAACTACCAGTAATATCCCAGAGATCTGCAAATTTCTATCCTCAGCTTAAAGATCCTGATCTATAAAACACATGTCCAGTTGAGTATGGACCACCAGTATCTACCAGCTGGTCATGCGGACAGCATATTAGGAAAACATTCCTTCTACCTTCAGCCACCAAGTTATTACAGGTTCTCCTCCTGTTACCCCTCTGTTTTAGAGTGATGCTCTCTTCTTTATTGGTTTCTTTTTAAGGTTTCTTTTTATTTATTTATGCATTCAAGATCTGGGGTGTAGGCCAGAAGTGCACAGAGGAGGGGGTTTCACCAGAGGGAGGATTCACCAGAGACAGAGTGGGGAGCAGAACCGGTAGATTGACTGAGATATACTGCTGAGGGGAGCAGCGAGCAAGACAGCCAAGGTCTGCTGTACTATGTGAGTCAGCTCTCTGGACTGGGATCCAACCCAGCCACACTGGTTGGTGATAGCTTCATAGTGCTGAGACTTTAACCCCTTGCCACCAGGGAGGCCCCCGTTTTGTATTCTTATGACTCTATCAGGTGAACATCTCTTATCTGTTTATTTCCCCATCATTGTTTGAACATTCTGTTTTAGGGTCTAGGTTTTGTTTACTCTGAGTTGCAGATACCAGCTTTGAGGTCACAGGAATAAAATATTGCCACAAATTTGAACGTACTTTTCATTTGTTATGAAGAGAACGATCACATAACATTCTATACTAGTGAATTCAGCTCAGATGTCCCACAGTTCACGAAAGCTGACTAACTTCAGTTCCAGAATTCTTTTTTTAAAGATTTATTTATTTATGTATAAAAGAGCTGGAGTACAGGCCAGAGTTGCTGGGGGATGAGTGGTTTCACCAGAGACAGAGTGGGGAGCAGCACAGGCAGATTGACTGAAATACACTGCTGAGGGGAGCAGTGGGCGAGGCAGGAGAGGTTTGCTGTGCCATGTGGGTTGCTCCCTGGCCAGCCGGGGATTGAGCTCGTGTTGCAGAGGCTTCAGATTGCTTCATAGTGTGGTGCTTAACCCCTTGTGCCATCAGGGAGGCCCCCAGAATATTTTTTTAAAAAATAGAGGCATGTTATTTATTTATTTATTTGTTTGTTTGTTTGTTTGTTTTGTTTATACATGCACTGGGTACAGTCAGAAGCGCGGGAGGGTGAGAGAATTCACCAGAACCAGAGCGGGGAGCAGGCAGGCAGAAGGACTGAAGCACACTGCTGAGGGGAGCATCGGGCGGCAGGAGAGGTCTGCGTGCCATGTGGGACCCTCCTCCGGTGGCCGGGGAGCAGCCGGGGATCGAACCGGCACTGCAGAGGCTGTGGGCAGCTTCGCAACCCAGCGCTCAACCGCTGCGCCACTGGGGAGGCCTACAGAATATTTTAAGGTCTACCTCATCTCACTGCTGGCACATGCTCTCTGTAGTTCAGTTACCATGGCTTTTTATTTTCTCACACAATGACACCTGCTGTTGTCTCATATTGATGATGGTGTTTTTTACATAAGAGCTAACTGTTTGAGTCTTCAGTGAAGTACAACCTGATGGTACAAACTTGGTTTTTCTTCTCTTGTATGCGTGTCTGCATTCATCATGCTTTCCACATAGCTCTTTAGCACATTATTCCAGGTATGTGATTATTATACCTGCCAACCAAGTTTAAGCTCTTCAAGGAGCAAATTATATTCATCCTTATATTTTTGGCTTCAAAGACACTTCCAAATTTATAAGGTAAGGTATAAAAGTACTTTTAGGAGCTAATGGGTTAATCTAGAGGTAAGGCTATTTCTACTGAGAATTCTCTTCACACCACAATGTAGAGTAAAAGGATGGTGCATCCTATGCACATCAGACCCTCACAAAAGGAGCGTTTACACTTGCTGCTGTCTGATGGCCCTGAAATGAGGGGAAATGTTCTCTCACAGGGGATGGTGTCATTTGAGGATGTGGCTGTGAACTTCACCTGGAAGGAGTGGTGGGACCTGAATGATGCTCAGAGGACCCTGTACCGGGATGTGATGCTGGAGACCTACAGTCACCTGGTGTCCCTAGGTGAGGAAACTCTGATGTAACGCTTGGGTGAAAGTGCTGTTTTCTACACTGATAAGTGTGCACTTGCTTATGAAAATTGGGTGCTGGTGAGGTTGAACATTGCAGGCCAAGCAGATTGTGGGTGTTCACCCTTTTTGCTCTTGTTTGTTTTATAGACTGAAGTTTAACTTGATCAAAGACCAATGCTGTTTCTCATCACAGGACATTGTGTTAATGATCCTGAGGTGAGCATCAGGTTGAAGCAGAGCGCACAGCCATGGACTGTGGAAGAACCCCCAAACCAGGACCTCTCAGGTCAGTCAGTGCTTGCCTGGCTTGGAGGCTGGAAGGAGGAGTCACCAGCAGATACTGGCCACACTGAGCTGCTTTTCTGATGTCAAACATTGGATAGTTTGTCTGCGTACATCAAAGTGATTCATTATTCAGTTCCCAAATATTGCTGTCTTGTAGATTTCCTCCTACTCTTTTAATGGCTTTCAATATTCCTAAATTTAACCAATATGCAGTCCGTGAAACTGCAGGAAATTATTCTGTATCAGTCACATTTTCTGTGTCTCTCTGTTGATTTATTTTCACAGATTCTTTTCTTTTGACACTGTTCAGTCATTAGTTTATTCTTTTTTTTTTTTTTTTTAAGATTCATTTATTTAGGGCCTCGGTGGCACAGCGGGGTGAGCACAGCACCGGGAAGCTGTCTGCAGCCTCTGCAGCATGGGTTTGACTCCCGGCCAGCCAGGGAGATTCCCATATGGTGCGGCAGACCTCCCTTATTGTGCCTGCTGTTCCCCTCAGCAGTGTATTTCGGTCATCTGCCTGTTCTGCTCCCCGCTCTGTCTCTGGTGAATCCTCTCACCCTCCCGCATGACTGGCCTGTAACTGAGCTCTTGTTTAAAAATAAATAAATCTTTTTTTTTTAAAGATTTATTTATTTATGCATACAAGAACTGGGGTACAGGCCAGAAGTGTGGGGGAGGTGAGAGGATTCACCAGAGACAGAGTGGGAAACAGAACAGGCGGATTGAATGAAATACACTGTTGAGGGGAGCAGCGGGCAAGTCGGGAGAGGTCTGCTGCGCCATGTTGGTGTCTCCCTGGCCAAGGATTGAACTCGTGATGCAGTGGCTGTGGACAGCTTCATTGGTTGTGTCTCAACCCCTTGTACCACCAGGGAGGCTCCATTTGTTTATTCTTTCAGCATGTTCATAGGCTGTTTTAGCCAGTGGTCAATTTTCTATGAGAGGGGATAGCAACAGTAATCATTGAAATGGCCTTTGCTTTATTGAACTTATATTCTGTGAGAGAGGAAAATATAACAAGTACATACCTTAAATACAGAGATGTTTAACTGAGATGAGAGAGGAAGAAGTGCAGGATGATATTGTGGAGTGTGTGCTCGGAAGGCATTGTTATGGAGATGAAGTGTTCTTTGTAGAGCTTAGGTGAGATGCATGGTTTGCACTGACATGTTGTGTCTATAGTTCTCTCTGCAGTCTGGGCTAGAGGTTGTGTATTGCTCTGGGAGATGTAATTTACCAAGAGGCTGACTCAAAACTGATAGAGTGGTGTTGACTGCAGAGTTATCTAGAACATGAATAATGTTTCATGTTCACGCCTTGTGACCTCCCCACATGAGAAGTTGTGAGGCTGAAGAGGACCCAACAGATTTTTCATTTGGGAAGCCATGTTTTTTGACATGGGTTTTGGAAACCTTTGCTTATGTTCGCTAAAGTCTTAAAACCAACAGTTCCATGTTGGGTGCTCCTATCTTGGGAGAGGAGTAGGAATTGTGTGATTATACCTGCTCATGGGAATCATTGAAGAAAGCAACCAAATCAATGAAAGTGTGATATAGCTAAAACTAACATTCTAGATAAAAATTTGACCTGCTATGAATGAAGGAGAAACACAGATACCAAGGAGTGCAGTGAGACTACTAGGAATGTCAATCTCAGACGGATGTGGTCAAAAGCCTTTAACGATGATGGACAGAGGTTGGATTGCTGAACTTTTTTCCTTTTGATCAGCAGAGGAAAGTGGGGCAAAATGATGAGGTGGAGTTTGCTGCATCTGTTATGATTCTGAGCAGCATGTGATATAATATTTCATTAAGAATTGACCGAAAGGGGGCCTCCCTAGTGGTGCAAGGGGTTAAGACGCAACCTATGAAGCAATCCACAGCCACTGCAGCACGAGTTCAATCCCCAGCCAGGGACCTTCCCACATGGCACAGCAGACCTCTCCTGTCTTGCCTGCTGCTCCCCTCAGCAGTGTGTTTCAGTCAGTCTGCCTGTTCTGTTTCCCACTTTGTCTCTGGTGAATCCTCTCACCCCCTACACCTCTGGCCTATACCCGAGTTCTTAAATAAGTAAATAAATAAATCTTAAAAAAAATAATAATAATTGACAGAAAGGTTTCTTTCTGCCATGGAGGGAAGTACATGCCTTTGAAAACATCTACAGATGACTGTAGCCAGTGCCAAAGGAGAAGGAAAAACTAAGAAATGTACATGCGGACTCTTGTCTCTAAGCAAAACTGTTTCTTAAAGTGACTGGAAAATGATCCTCTGTCACTTTCAATCAATAGGTTTTCCAGGAAAACTATGAATTCCACAGAGCTTGATTATTCAAAAAAGTACCAGCAAAAATTGCACAGGGTCATCCTAAGAAAGAAAGTATATAGACTCTATGTTAGGTTAAATAATTCTTATTGATAACCGCATATACAGTTAAATGAATATTTTTACCAAATCGTTCTGATTTTATAAAAAGAATAACAACTGTTTTATTATTAACAGCTATGTTTTACTGCTTCCTTGTCATCCTGGTTTGGAATTAGAAAATAAGTTCATTGGGGTTAAGTCTCTGCCCTCACACTGCCTGAGTTTGATCCACGACCAGGGAACTCACCCACATGGCATAGCAGATCTCTCGCCTGTGGCTCCCTTTGCAGTGTGTTTCAGTAGGTCCACCTGTTCTGCTTCCCACTCTGGTGAATCCTCTCATCCTCTACACCTTGGCCTATACTCCAGGTCTTCTACGTCAAAATAAAAATTAAAAAAAGAAAATCTGTTTCTTTTTTCCATAATTGGTTAGGGGTAAAAACATGAATCTGGGGCCTCCCTGTTGGCACAGCGGGTTGAGCGCCACGCTGTGAAGCTATCCGCAGCCTCTGCAGAGCGGGTTTGATTCCCGGCCGGCCAGGGAGAAACCCACATGGTGCAGCAGACCTCTGTCCTCGCCTGCTGCTCCCCTCAGCAGTGTCTTCAGTCAGTCTGCCTGTTCTGCCCCCCGCTCTGTCTCTGGTGGATTCTCTCACTCTCCTGCGCCTCTGACTGTACTCCAGTTCTTGTATAAATAAATAAATCTTTAAAAACAAAAAGCATGAATCAGAAAATCAAAATCAATACCTATTAGCTTGTGTGGTAGTATGGAAACTTTTGTGCCTTTTAGTAGTGTTCACTTGAAATGCTTATTTATAGAAATGGTCATTTTTTTCGCTTTTTAGATGTTCAGACTGTGGATTACCTCATTAAATCAGTCCTCGGTGAACATCAGAGAAGTCACACCAGAGAGAAGCCCTATGAATGTCAAGAGTGTAGGAAGGCTTTCTACCAGAAGTTAGGCCTCTGTAAACATCAGATGACTCACACAGGTGTGACACCCTATGAATGTCAACAGTGTGGGAAAACTTTCTTCTGGAAATCAGACCTCAATAAACATCAGAGAACTTCCACAGGAGAGAAACCCAATGAATGTCAACAGTGTAGGAAAACTTTTTCCCCGAGGTCAGGCCTCACTAAACACAAGAGAAGTCATGCTGGAGAGAAATCCTGTGAATGTCAACAGTGTACAAATACTTTCTCCTTCAAATCAGCCCTCAATGTACATCAGAGAAGTCACCCTGGAGGGAAGCCCTATGAATGTCAAGAGTGTAGGAAGGCTTTCTCCCATAAGTCAATTCTTGTTCTACATCAGAGGGCTCACATAGGAGAGAAACTCTATGAATATCAAGCATGTAGGAAGGCTTTCTCCTTCAAATCAGCCTTCAGTGTACATCAGAGAAGTCATAGTGGAGAGAAACCTTATGAATGTCAAGCATGTGGGAAAACTTTTTCCAGTAAGACAGTTCTCAGTAACCATCACGAAATACACGCTGGAGTGAAACCCTATGAATGTCAAGAGTGTAGAAAAACTTTCTCTCGTAAGTCAATTCTTGTTCTACATCAAATGACTCACACTAGAGAGAAACACTATGAATGTCAACAGTGTAGGAAGGCTTTCTCCTTCAAATCAGTCTTCAGTGTACATCAGAGAAATCATAGTGGAGAGAAACCTTATGAATGTCAAGCATGTGGGAAAACTTTTTCCAGTAAGACAGTTCTCAGTAACCATCACGAAATACACGCTGGAGTGAAACCCTATGAATGTCAAGAGTGTAGAAAAACTTTCTCTCGTAAGTCAATTCTTGTTCTACATCAAATGACTCACACTAGAGAGAAACACTATGAATGTCAACAGTGTAGGAAGGCTTTCTCCTTCAAATCAGTCTTCAGTGTACATCAGAGAAATCATAGTGGAGAGAAACCTTATGAATGTCAAGCATGTGGGAAAACTTTTTCCAGTAAGACAGTTCTCAGTAACCATCACGAAATACACGCTGGAGTGAAACCCTATGAATGTCAAGAGTGTAGAAAAACTTTCTCTCGTAAGTCAATTCTTGTTCTACATCAAATGACTCACACTAGAGAGAAACACTATGAATGTCAACAGTGTAGGAAGGCTTTCTCCTTCAAATCAGTCTTCAGGGTACATCAGAGAAGTCACACTGGAGAGAAACCTTATGAATGTCAAGGGCCTGGGAAAACTTTCTCCAGTAAGACAATTCTCAGTAACCATCACAAAATACACACTGGAGTGAAACCCTACGAATGTCAAGAATGTAAAAAGACTTTCTCTCGTAAGTCAATTCTTGTTCTACATCAAATGACTCACACAGGAGAGAAACCCTATGAATGCCAGCATTGTAGGAAAACTTTCTCCTGGAAATCTTCCCTCAGTCAACATCACAGAACTCACACTGCAAAGAAACCATGTGAAATTTTCTCCCAGAGGACAGTTCTGATTATACATCAGAATTCACACGGAGAGCTGCCTGTGAATGTCTAGAGTATATGGAGACTTTGTTCTGGGGTGAATGAACATCTAGAGAACTCCTTATGCATGGCAAGAATGCAATTACAGCAGAGATATAGGGAAACGAAACAAGGGGGTCAGGGAAGTCAATCTTGCCAGCAGATTAGAACAGACAATGCAGGAGAGGTGGAGGGTCAAAGAAGGGGTAGAGGGCGAGGGGTCAGAGAAGGGGAGGGAGGAGCACTAGAGACTATGAGGATGGTTCACGGGTGATTTGGGGACCAGAATATTATCGGGATTATTGCTGAGGGGGAAAAAAAATCAAACATACAAAAATGAATATTGATGTAAAAAAAAAAAGTAAAGCTTTTTACTGCAAATCAGATGTCACTAGAGAGCAGAGAACTCACTAAGGAGAGGAGCCCTGTGGCCGTCAATACCAAGGGGTAGCTTCACGCAGTAGGAGTGGTCAGTGCATCAGAGTAGTCACACAGGAGAGAAACCCTGTGGGTGTATCGTGTAGGGAAGTGAGATGGAAGTCCGCCTTCAGTGATCATAATTCAGAGTGTGTAACAGTGCCTGGTCGGATGTGCACATGTTTACACGGCATTTCTAATTCTGTCGGCAGGCTTCTTGCATTTCTCTCCCTTATTACCGTATCCCTAAACTCAGCCCAGGGCGATGTGAACACAAACAAGGGACATTATTTCTATGATAAAATGTTTAAAAAATTTTAAAACTTGGGAGCACAAACAGAACACACCATTCAGTTGAGAGCACTGTGCACAAACATGCATTTAAAATCATAATTGCATGAAATCATCTAGTTCATTATTTTCTCCAAGGTTAAGCAGGGATTATGTAGCTGTTCCTGTTGCTGTTGCTTCTAGTGTTCTCTTAGTTGCTGGATGATGCTGTTCCTGTCCGTGGTAGCTGTGGGTCTACCTGGTACATTCCATGGTGCATTGGTAAGTGCTCTCTCTGGGTTCTTTGTTGCCATGTTCTGTCCAGTGCTCTGCACCTCTGTAGTGCCATGGGACTAGACAAAGTGCCACCAGTAAAGCTGGAATTTCAACACCAAAATGTCATTAAAGAAAAAATTGACCTGTTTTATAGTTACATAGAGTGAGGTCTGCAGGTGTTCTGACTGGGGTTCTGCAGCACCCAGGGCTGCATGGTGGCCCCATCTGCAGCGGCTCCCAGTTGTTACTTTAAGTTCACTCTGTTTTTCCTGCCCTTCAGTCAGGCCCAGGCTCCTGTTGTGTAACCTGATCATCAGTTTTTCCCTTAGGCGTTTTTCTTTGTTTTGTGTTAGTTTTGTTCCTGTCTGGAGGAGGCCAGCCCTACCTCTTCACTCTGCAGCCAAATTGACAAAACTCTTCATTTCTTGTTTTGGTGAGAAAGGAATTCAATTTGGAGACCAGAGTTACAGAAAAGCCAGAGATTAACTAATAATAAAGAACAAAAATACTGTTAGTAGAAAAGTAGCCACTGAGGGGTGAAAGCAGGTGATCATATACCCATATAGTGGGCATGGAGTAGGGTTTTTGGTCGCTGGTGTTTCTGCTTCTGTCTCTTTCCTATTGGCTTGACCTGTAGGGTCTCCTAAGGCTATTGAGGGCCGCTGATTTTGTGTGGTTCTCCTAGGCTACCAGGAATCTGAATTTGTGGCTTCTCCTGTGTTTTCCAGGCCCACTGAGTTTGCCCATGTTACCTGTCCTTATTTTCGAAACTAGCCTTGGTCTATTGATTTCGAATTGTGTTCCAGTGTTGGTATCCTCAGCATTCCTCTCTTTACTGGTTTGGGGTGGGAGACACCATCCTGTTCTGTGATTGTTTCTCTGTCAAAGTGAAAATGGATTTGAGATTTGGGGTACCCTGTTCCTAACTGACCATTTCCCCACTTCTTCCTTCAAGAACATCTCAACAGCCAGACGCCTTCCATCCTATGTTTCCTCATCAGAGAGGCAGGAACCCTTTTCCTGGGACTCCTGACTCTCCCATCTGAGTTCCAGTCCTGCAGGGGCTTCCTCTTTGGGTGCTGCCCTCAGCCCTTGTGCAGGGAGAGGCCCCCTGCAGCGCTGCCTCGGATGCTCACACTCTTCCCTCCACCTGTCAGTAGGCGCTTCCCCAGTTGATTCTTTCTGTTCACATTTCCAAATTCCTGTGACTGACGGGGTTTCTTTACCTTGAGAGCATCTTTACAAATGTGAAGAATGTAGCAAAGCCTTTAACCAGAATTCAAGTCTCACTCAACATCAGAAAATTTATATCAGAGGGAAATGTTAAAATTCTGAAGAATATGGCAGTGTCTTTAACCTGAAGTCAAATGATCCTAAACCTCAGAGAGTTCATACTGAGAGAAACCTACAAGTGTAAAGTGAGGAATAGTTTGTCCAAATATATATTTCTAACCACCAGATTTTCATACTGGAAACTTTATTATTTTTTTTTTAAAGATTTATTTATTTACTTACACAAGCACTGCGTACCGTCAGAAGCACGGAAGGGTGAGAGAATTCACCGGAGCCAAAGCAGAGAGCAGAACAGGCAGACTGACGAAGTACACTGCTGAGGGGAGCAGCAGGTGGCAGGAGAGGTCTGCACACCATGTGGAACCCTCGACTGGCAGATGGAACCGGCGCTGCGGAGGCTGCGGGCAGCTTCGCAACCCAGTGCTCAAATCACTGCGCCATCTGGGAGGCCCATACTGGAAACTTTAAAGAAGCAAAAATGTGTGAAAGTAATTTATAATCAAATTTAAATACATATTAAGATTGCCGTACAGGGCCTTCCTGGTGGCACAAGGGGTTAAGCACAGCACTATGAAGCAATCTACAGCCTCTGCAGCATGAGTTCAATCCCCGGCCGGCCAGGGAGCAACCCACATGGGGCAGCAGACCTCTCCTGTCTCACCTGCTGCTCCCCTCAGCAGTGTATTTCAGTACACCTGCCTGTTCTGCTCCCCACTCTGTCACTGGTGAATCCTTTCACCCTCCCCTACACCTCTGGCCTGTACCCCAGCTCTTGTGTGCATAAATAAATAAAAAAAAATCTTTAAAAAAAATGTTGCAGTGCAGTAGGAAGTCAGTAACACTTCTCAGACATTACCTTAAATCAGAATATTTTTATGGCACAAAAACCAACTTTAAAATACTAAATCTAAGTATAGTTTAAATGCTCAAGATGATGGTTTGGGGACATGTGTAGTTATACTTTATCCTTTTTATACCATACTTGACATGTTATGAAGAGACATGATGAATATAATTCAATTCTAAATCACTGCATTCTCTGGCTTTCTCTTATGTACATGACATCATGTGTTTGATTTTGCTGCCTCAAACATCTAAGGCACTCTCCTCTATTTGATGTATTTGTTCACATCTAACTTGTTAGGACAAATTTAGGACAGTGTAATACACCATGTATGAAGAAGATGTAAATGGATATGCTGTTTGTGGTTGACTCAGATTGATCTAAATCACCAAAAAGAGTTACAGGCTTCATTATTGGCATACATGTCAGACAGAGGAACATGCTGAAGTTCAAATCACTTCATCAGTTTCTCCTTTAGGGAATACACTGTTTATTAAAATTCTGACATTTCTTCATAGTAGTAATAGACATCATGAATATCATTTGATATTGTTGCCAAAACAAATCTTCACAGGCACATGATGAAAGACCAGGTGGCTTTTCCATAACAGGGCATAGAATTGTCCACTCATATTTGCCAAGTAATGCATCTCCATGTTGACCACCAACTCTGGGATCTTGGTATCAGAAGAACAAGAATGTTTCTTAAATGACTGACTCTTGATTTTGACCAAAGAGCATTCAGTGGTATCTGTTTTATTTCAACTCTGTGTGGGGCCTCCCCTGGTGGTGCAGGCAGTTGAGCGCAGCGCTGTGAAGCTGTCTGCAGCTGCTGCAGCGCTGGTTTGATCCTGGCCTGTGTGAACTTAGTATGTATGTTTTAATAAAGCTGATTGATTTTTTTTTTAAGATTTATTTTTATTTATTTATACAAGCACTGGGTACAGTCAGAAGCACGGGAGGGTGAGAGAACTCACCAGAGCCAGAGCAGGGAGCAGAGCAGGCAGAAGGACCGAAGTGCACTGCTGAGGGGAGCAGCGGACGGCAGGAGAGGTCTTCGCGCCATGTGGGACCCTCCTCCGGTGGCCGGGGAGCAGCTGGGGATCGAACCTGTGCTGCAGAGGCTGCGGGCAGCTTCACAACCCAGCGCTCAACCACTGCGCCACCGGGGAGGCCCTAAAGCTGATTAATTTTTAATGTGGTAATCCTGATGCCTACTTGATAACAAGTTATCCCTCATGGACATTTACCAACCCCTCCTTATTCAAGGATTTAGGTAACAGATGGGAATAGGCCTGTTGTCAACAGAGTTTCATGGCATCACTAGCAGGCTCTGTTTTCAGATACCTTAACTGTATTTTGTAACAACTACACACTATTATTTCAGTATCTCCCAACATTGTGATGTGTATATTGAATATAGTGTAGGAGTATTTTCAATTTTCCCAATCACTCCATGATATGGGTGTTTTGCCATCCTTTTTTGTACCTAAACCACTACTGACAATGTCTGCATGTGAAGTCATGTAAGGCATTTATATTTACTTGTGATGATGCAGGGTGTGAGAAGGGTGTATAGCAGGAACCTCTAGAAAGAGGATCTAGTGTCACTTCGGAGTCTCTAAATGGGGCTGTTTGTACTAGATGTCTGTCAGGATGGCAGCGCCATCAATTCCATTTCGCGATAATCAGGAGCATGCTAGCAACTCACCGAACTAAGGCCTTTTAAAAAATAGTCTGAGGGGACACAGGCTCAGCCCTGGCGGCCTCCAGCATACTCTGGGCGAGCAGAGGGTGCGCGGATAGAATGGGGTCTAAGGGTACAGTCCCCTTCTGGGAACAACCAAACTTGGTCTTTTACTGACGACCAGGAAGGCAAAGTGTAAACCCCGAAATGTCTTACAAGGAGTTTAATGGCGATGGCCGCCAGGGCGTCTTCCCCGCTCCACCCTTCTGAAGATGCAGCTCCCGAATTACAGGAGGGTGAGTGTGAGAAACCAAATCCTATGGGAACACAACAAAGCCCCTCTTTTCCGTCGCCACCCTAAAGCAGTTCTTTCGCCCCCCAGTTTTCTGGGGCGTCGCCCATCAGTCCATTCCCCCTAATCGCTCCACTGAGCCCGCCTCTGGGCGGCAGCCCCACCCCGTATGGACGCGCTTGCTGACGACGGCTGAGGCAGCGCAGAGTTTTATGGGAAATGTAGTCTCTGGAGCCCTCGCACTTAGCGCCAAGGACTCTGGCTACGCTTCCGTTTTCTGCGCCTGTGCCGCCAGCGTCCTCACCTTCTCCTGAAGTTCCCCCACGTCCGCTAGCGCTGCGGCGCCTACGAGTTGTGAGTGGACTTTGTCTCTGAAGGTTGGGCTTGGGGGTGAGGCTAAGGCCCTGAGGCCCTGAGGCCCTGAGTTGTTAGGGGGGAAAGGATGTTCTGAGCTAATCCCATGCAGGCTTTGTGGACCCCACCCCCACTCCAGACCAAAGCCATCAAGACACTGGGAAAGACAAATCCTGTCACCACCAAAGGGAAGGTGGCTGGGACCTGAGGGTGGAGTTAAGCAGCCAGGGTTGGTATAAAAACCAGACACGTGGGCCTTAGAGGGTTCCCTTTTGGCTCTCCGCCAGCTCGTGGCTCTTGGCCAGCTCTCAGGGTACCATTGGGTTTCCAGGTCGGCGGATCAGGTAGGACACATTAAAGACTTTATATCTCTCTTTTCTCCCTGAGTTGTACATTTCCTCATTTCCCCTTCCCTTGTAAATAAACCTTTTATTACCCTTTTGTGTGTGCCTGCAGTGGAGTATTAATAAGTACAATTGTTACGGGGAAAAGGATGTCCTAAAGCTATTTCCATACAGGGTTTGTGGACTCCACCCCTTCCCCCACTCCAAATCCCGTCACCACCAAAGGGAAGGTGGCTGGGACCTGAGGGTGGGGTTAAGCAGCCAGGTTGATATAAAAGGCAGACACGTGGGCTTTGGGGGGGGGTCCCCCATTTTGGCTCTCTGCCAGCTCGTAGCTTCCGGCCAGCTCTGAGAGTGCTTTTGGGTTTCCAGGTCAGCGGATCCGGTAGGACGCATTAAAGACTTTATTTCCCTATTTTCTCCCTGAGTTGTACATTTTCCTTATTCCCCTTTCCCTTGTAAATAAGCGTTTTATTGACCTTGTGTGTGCGCCTGCAGTGGAGTATTAATAAGTCCCTTTTAAGCACACGGGTGAGGACCTACAGCCAGGCAACCCGTTTTATATCGGGGCTGCTCCGTAACAGCTGGTGCCCAACGTGGTTTCCAAGCTACACCCGCGGTTGACCAGCCCAGAGTAACTTTCCTTGCGTTGGTCACCATAAGCGCGCTAGGTCTGCAGGACCCGCAGTGTAATATTTGTCTCAAATCTTGAAGTCTGCTTTTTGCCCCGTGCGTACAGCTCTTGTGGTTGTGTTTTTGATCCAAACATGGCCTCAACCCTGAGCTTATGCAATTTTATCCCTAGCTTGAGTTCTTTCAGTTTTCTTCCCGCCTTGAGTTTAAGTAGCCTTTTTCCGTTAAATATTACCACCAGTTTTATAAGTGTAAATAATTGGATAAAACTTGGTATATGGCACATGATTTTACTTTTGTGTACATATGTGGGTGGTTTACAAGCCATCCCTTTACAGTCTGTGCTTCTGGGTGTTTTTTTGTTAATGTGTGTATATGCCATTTGCTACATTCCTGTTTCTATGAGAGGTAGATGTTCTACTTCACATACTGAGAATGTGCTGCAACAAATTCAAGCTCTTAACTTAGCTATGCAACAACAAAATCAGGCTTTTGATTTAACTATGAAGAGTGTGAGGGATGAAAACCGTAAGGTTTTTGAGTCAGCTTTTAAAAGCATGCAGGATCAAGCTTTTAAAAGTACACAGGTCCAGATACAGGCCGCCCTCCATAAACTGGATATGGCGGAGGCTCCACTGATGGCACCGAGAAGAGATAAACCTTCTCCTTCCCATGAGGACTACAGGAGGGCGGAGTTAGAAGAGGAGGCGCATCATTTGCTAAATACCTTAAACACATCAGGACAAAGGCCTTCTCCACCTGACCAGGCCCCTCCCGCGCAGAATCCTGAGGCTTCACAGCCTCCATTGCCCTCCGGGGAGGAACCTAAAATGGCGTCTCCTCCCCACACTAGACACGGCACCCATTTTGGCAGGAAGGATCACCCTGAGGCAGGACAGTTTCTTCACGCAGTGCCGATGGGTGGCTTGAATGAACAGGGGCGACCTGCTGGGCACTTTTGGTCGCACCATCCTTTTAGCGTTGGGGACCTCCTAAATTGGAGGAGCTCTGTCCCCCCGTACCGGCAGGCTCCTAAGAGGATGGCGAACTTGTTTGCCTCCATCTTCGTTTCCCACCGCCCTAACTGGGCAGATATACAGTTGATGTTACATACTTTACTAGGTCTAGATGAGCAGAGGATGGTAGTGAGGAGAGCCAGGGAGGAGGCTGACCGTCTCCGCCAACAGGATAGGCAATCCCCAGAGCCAGAGATTGCTGTCCCAGAGGTAGATCCTGGATGGGACCCCAACGATGGAGGACTGGCGATGTTGGACCTGTATAAAAAATGTTTATTGGTAGGACTGGAGTGGGGAATCCCCAAACACAAAAATTATAACAAAATATTAGAACTTGAACAAGGGGCTAGTGAGGATCCATCCGAGTTCCTTGAGAGGATTATTCAGACGTATACAGACCACACGGATATAAATCCAGATGCCCCACAAAATGCTCGTTTGATCACTATGACGTTCATCACAAATAGTGCTCCAGACATAAGGAGAAAGCTAACAAAGGTAGACGGCGTCACAGAGATGAGTCCGTCCCAGGTAGTGGACTTAGCATTTAAGGTTTATAATAATAGAAAGAACAGGAGACCGAAACCTGCGACTGTTTTCGTACAAAGAGAGCACAGGACAGGGTTTCGGGGAAACCGTAATGGACTGGTCTATATGAACTTTTGCTGAGCACACATACTTTGAAACTTGCAGGCATAAAACCCTGGGTACATCATTCCCGAGTTAAGAAAGCACCAGAAGGAACTGACCCAGAGACAAAGTCCCACTGGCCTTGTGAACCCATTGAGGACTTGAGATATTTGTTTAAGAAACAGAAAAAACCTTGAATGTGACTGACTTCTTTTCTAGTTATTGTTGCAGGATACCCAAGGACTCATTTTCTTCTGAAGAAACCCTGAGGAAAAAAAAACTAACATGCTCTAACCAATCTTATTCCTTTCAAAGTTTAGGAGACGTGAAATAACATCTAGGATCATGCATGTGCTGGCAGTATTCTTTTTTTTTTTTTTTTTTTACACAGAAAGGTTTTCTATCTTGATTTTGTTATTTCCTTTTTAACTTTTTGCTTTTTTTAACTTTGAGGTTTTTTTTTTCCTCTGCTTTCTTGTTACTTTGGCCTATGAGTGAAACTGCAGTTGTATGAGATATCGCACGTGTGATGAATGGTAACTAAAGAGCTCTTTGTGTCCATATGTTGTATGTCTGTATGTCCTCTCCTTGTGTCCTTGTCTTGGCCTCCAGTGATTGGCAAATTGGTATGCATGGTGCGCATAGACGTTGGGGAAAAAAAAAAGTCTCCAGTTATGAGAAGAACTAAAGGTTATGGTTTGATTGTCAACACTACTACTGAACTAAGCCAGTGCCTTCATAGAGATTGAATATTCTTGTTTCTGTTGTTTTTCTGATATTTGTGGCAAAGCTTCCCAGGAATCTAAATTCAAGTACAAATTTGGTAGCCTGTCATTTGGCTGATGCAAGGAAATTTGTGGAACCTCAGTAGAGCTCCTGGGACACTCCACAAAGTTTCTCCCTTTCCTCCTAGGAAAGGCATTAGATGAATTTGTTCTATTTGGCTTTTACCTAATGAAGTAAAACTGGAAGGGAAGCATTGTCACTTGGGAAAATGGTAAAACTTTGGCATGTACAGAAATGTTAACAGTGGTTTTCTAAAATGTGTATAAAACCTCTCAGTACCTGATATGTATGTAAATTGCCCATGGTGATTGTCGCCTTGTAATAGTGTATACTTCGATTGTTTATTGACAGAAATTGTTTCTGGAAAAATAGGGAGAAAAGACCTCAACAGATTACTATTGATGGAACTGTTGAGAGTACAAATTTCCTACACAGGACTGAATAGACCTGATATTTACTAAGTTTTCTTTAACATAATACTGGTAATTTTTTTTGCATTTTGTTCCGAATCCACAAAGGTTTTTTTGTTGTTGTGAGTAACCAGGACCTGCAGCAAGGTTGCGGTTTTGCTTTTTTTTTTCCCCAGCAAAGCTAACTTGTGTTCACATTTTCTCTCCCCTTGATACCAACACAGCATACACATAGTGGTAGTAATTTTTTTGCTACTTATCTCAGTCTGTTTTTGCATAACTTCCATAGGGATTTTGTCTGCTTAAGCTAAAAAAAAAAAAAAATTGGACATGAATTTCATTGTGTGGCTTTGTGTGGAGTTCTTCCAGAGAGTTGAAACAGAGCTGAACCTAGAAGAGAAGAACCTGTTTGCTTTGTTTGTAGGGTTCCAGAGACCTCCAAAGAAGGTGAGGAAGCTTGCCTCCATTGGCAGGACTGGACAGCCCAGCCAACAAAAAAGTCCTGGTACCCTCGAGAAGAGGAAAGCCCAGGTGGAGTCTGATGAGACCAACTTTGTTCCTGAAGCCTGCACGGACCGGATGCCAACGGTTTGCTCTGATCCTATATGGAGTATTCCAACAAGCCAGCTAACATTGCTGTTTAGTTATTCTGCACTGTGATTTTATGCAAAAATAGGTAAAATGGTTTAAAAGTAGATTTAGTTTGCAAACTTTGCTATGCTGTTAAAAAGTTTGGGATCAAGGTTGAGAAAATTTGTGTTCTACATAAGTTGAACCATTTTAAGATTTTTTTTTTTTGCTGTGATTTTGACGTATTTGCTGTCTTGTTTTGGCTAATGCCTCCAGATGTTTGTTTGTTGGTTTTTTTTTTTTGCCTGGACTGATGAACTGTTTTTCCAGGAATGGAGGACTTTTGCTTTCCACAATGGACAATACCTGGAGGGACTGGTTTTCTTTAACACTGGAACCCAGGAAAATTTTCATGAGACTGCATCCCAGCATCCATATATTCGATTTTCATCACCATGGAAATGGTGGCAAAAAGTGAAAGGGGGTTATTGTTAGGGGGGGAAAGGATGTCCTAAAGCTAATTCCATACAGGCTTTGTGGACTCCACCCCCACCCCAGACCAAAGCCATCAGGACATTGGGAAAGACAAATCCCATCACCACCAAAGGGAAGGTGGCTGGGACCTGAGGGTGGAGTTAAGCAGCCAGGTTTAGTATAAAACCAGACACGTGGGCCTTGGGGGGTTCCCTTTTGGCTCTCCGCCAGCTCGCAGCACTCAGGGTGCCTTAGGGTTTCCAGGTTGGCGCATTGGGTAGGACGCATTTAAGATTTTATCTCCCTCTTTTCTCCCTGAGTTGTACATTTCCTCATTTCCCCTTGCCTTGTAAATAAACCTTTTATTACCCTTTTGTGTGTGCCTGCAGTGGAGTATTAATAAGTCCCTTTTAAGCACGCAGGTGAGGACCCACAGCCAGGCAACCCGTTTTATATCGGGGCTGCCCTGTAACAGTTCCTTTCCCGCGTCTGTGCCACCCGCTCCTTACCGACTCCTGAAGTTCCCGAGCGGCTGCCAGTGCCGCGGCGCCTAGGAGTTGTGAGTGGACTTTGTCTCTGCAGGTTGGGCTTGGAGGGGACGCTGCGGCCCTGAGTGAGTGTGAAGACAAAGGGGAGTCTGCGTTGGGGAGGCCCTGAGGGCAGGTGTGGGGGAATAGAGCCACGTGGCCCCGGGTCGTGAGCATGGGGAGGGCCCAGACTGGGGGAGGCCAGGTGTTATGGGGGCCCTGCCCTTGAACACAGTCCCTCCAGTTGACATCCCTTAATATTTTCAAGAGTTCTAAGGGTGATTATGACGACCGTTGGTTTGGTCATGGAATTTAAAAATTCCTCGCCCCCACTATCATCTTGTAGGCATTCTGAGTGTGGCATCGAGCAGTCACAGCATTTGCTGTGTAAACATCCGCTCATGTGTACTGACGTAGACACCGCAGCTGTTTTATTCCTGGAAGTTGGGTGGTTCTGCATTTTGCGCGATTTTCCCCTCCAGGCAGGTCCTTTGCTGGTGTTGCCACGATGACCCAGGCAGGAGGCTGTGTTATCCAGGGCCATGACTAGGGCACTTGGGTGAGAATGTCACTTCCCATCTGGTGGATTTCTGGTGGCCGTTGCTCAGCCGTGTGCCCCTGACCGGCTGACGCGCAGTGTATTCCAGGATGAGTGTTCCTGGAAGGCAAGTATCCCTGGAAAAAAACCTTCATCCTATGCACATATGCACGGATTCCCTGTGGGCAAACATCCAGTGGCAGACCCCCAAGTCCTTGTCAAAGTGGGGTGTACAAGGAAATGAAGAGAGGAAGACAGGGCTCTTGGAACAACCATTTCTGGGACACCCCTACCAAAAAAATATAATGAAATATTGTGTGTGTGTGTGTGTGTGTATTCATATTAGTTTTACTTTATTATTGTCTTCCTTAGATTCATTCCCAGAAGTGAGATTACTGGATCAAGTTTACAAAATCAAACATTTTTTGCATCTTTAACAATTCTTTTTTTTAAAGATTTATTTATCCATACAAGAACCGGGGTACAGGCCAGATTCACGGGAAGGGGTGAGAGAATTCACCAGAGACAGAGTGGGGAACAGAACAGGCAGACTGACGAAATACACTGCTGAGGGGAGCAGCGGGTGCGACAGGAGAGGTCTGCTGAGCCATGTGGATTGTTCCCTGGTTGGCTGGCAGAGGCTGCAGATTGCTTCATAGTCCTGTACTTAACCACTTGCACCGCCAGGAGGCCCATTTTTTCATTTCTTTATAGGATTCAGTAATATTTCTTTATTAGTACATAACAAATTATTCATTTGATTCATCAGTGGATGCTTCAGTTCATTTTTCCTTTGGACTATAATGAATAATAGGGATACCTTCATAGTGCTGGCGCTTAATCCCTTGCACCATCAGGAAGGCCCTTCTGAAGTGATTTTGATTAAAATCCATTGGGAAAGAGGCCTGCTGGGCAGAGTCCAGAAGTCATCATGCACTTGATCCAGTCATATCCCAAAAGAGTTTTTGGAAAGTCCTGTTACTGTAGCATGACATTAAGCTCAGAATAGTGACAACCAAGAATGCTCACTTGAGCCCTGATGTGCAGTTTTCATTGGGGTTCTGTCATGTGGGTGTGGTTGTCCTCCTATGTCCCTGACTATTATCTCCAATCTTATTAACTGGGCTGATTGCTTTTGCTGATAACAAATCCCGTCACCATAAATATATTATGATTCTAGGACAGCTGTGTGAACCAAAAATGTCAGGTGAATAGAGATGTTCATATCACAGAGGAAACAAGAACTTAGCAGTCCCGCCCCACACCCTCCAATGAGCCAGGACAAGGTGGAATCTTTTTGTGATTATGCTAGTGGTTTTTTTCTTTTTTCTTTTTTTTTAAACAATGCCTGACACAGGGACAAGGTCTCTTTTTTTAAAAAATAAAGATTTATTTATTTATACATACAAGAACTGGTGTACAGGCCAGAGGTGTAGGGTGAGAGGATTCACCAGAGACAGAGTGGGGAGCACAACAGGCGGATCTACTGAAATACACTGCTGAGGGGAGCAGCAGGCGAGCAGCAGAGGTCTGCTGTGCCATATGTGGGTTAGCTCCCTGGCCAGGGATCAACCTCAGGCCATGTCAGTGATAGCACTGAGACTTAACCCCTGGACCACCAGGTAGGCCCCCCCTTAATGTGATTCTTCTAGTTTTCCAAGAATGAATTATAGCTAGTTAAGACCATTTTCACTGTTTACACTTTTCAATTGGTTGACTTATAGTAACACTTTGTTACCAAGTGATAATTGAACATCTTGCTCTTTGTCTTAACCATAAATTTCTTTTCAACTGTGGCTATGCCAGGTCTACCAAATTGTGTTAAGGAAAAATCCTGTTTTTGTTTTTTTTTTAGTTAGTATAAATGGAAAATTCTTTTTATACATTCCTGCGCAAAATATAAGTGGATGTTCTTTTTTTTTTCCTCAAGATTTATTTATGCATACAAAAACTGGGGTACAAGCCAGAGGTGGGGGGGCTAGAGGATTCCCCAGAGACAGAGTGGGGAACAGAACAGGCAGATCAACCAAAATACACTGCTGAGGGGAGCAATGGGAGCGTCAGGAGAGGTCTGCTGTGCCATGTGGTTAGCTCCCTGGTGGGGGATTGAACTCATGCTGCAGAGGCTGCAAACAGCCTCATAGATTGCGTCTTAACCCCTTGCACCATCAGGGACGCCCTTTTTTTTTTTTTAACATGTATGTTTTCAGTTTATTATAATTATTTTAATTAAAAGCACCTTTTATTTATTTTTTTAAAGTTTAATGTGCTTTTTTTTTAAATATTTATATTTTATACAAGCATTGGGTACAGTCAGAAGCACGGGAGGTTGAGAAAATTGACCGAGCCAGAGCGGGGAGCAGAGCAGGCAGAGGGACCGAAGACACTGCTGAGGGGAGCAGCGGGTGGCAGGAGAGGTTGCGCGCCATGGGACCCTCTTCAGGTGGCCGGGGAGCAGCCGGGGATTGAACCAGCGCTGCAGAGGCTGCAGGCAGTTTCGCAACCCAGTGCTCAACCACTGCGCCACCGGGGAGGCCCCTAAAAGCACCTTTTAACTGATTTTTCTTACACAATCCCTCAAGCCACATCTACTCATAAATGTCAAGTGGAGTTCTCAGGCTGTCAGTTGAGAAGCCTCGATTTGTTTCAATTCAGCCACAACTTTTTAACCTTTCTTTCCTATGGCTGATTTTTAAAAAAATTTTATCTTTATATTCCACATACAATAGCAACCCCGTTATTTTGACCCCATTCCCTCCTTTCCCCGCCACCTACCCCCCCCCCCATAGTGTGTCTCTGGTTCATAGTTGTTTGTTGATTTTGATTTTTTCTTTCTTAGAGTTATTCTTTTTCCTGGTCCCTTATTTAGGTTTTCTAGATTCCTGCTATGAGTGAGACCATCCGGTATTTTTCTTTTACTTTCTGGCTTATTTCGCTGAGCATGATCCCTTCCAGCTCTATCCATGTTGCTGCAAATTGCATGTGTTTATCTTTTTTGATTGCTGAGAATATTCCATTGTGTATATGTACCACATCTTCTTGATCCAGTCATCTATTTTTGGGCATTTGGGTTGTTTCCAAAGTTTAGCCATTGTACATGGTGCTGCTATAAACATAGGGGTGCAGGTGCTCTTTGGAATTAATGTTTGGAATTAATGTGTCCTTTGGGTAAGTACCTAGGAGTGGATTGCTGGATCATATGGAAGCTCTATCTTTAGTAGGTTGAGGAATCTTTTTTTTTTTTTTTAAGATTTTTATTTATTTATTTATACAAGCACTGGGTACAGTCAGAAGATGTGGGAGGGTGAGAAAATTCACCAGAGTCAGAGCAGAAAGCAGAGCAGGCAGACTGACAAAGTACACTGCTGAGGGGAGCAGCAGGCAGCAGAGGTCTGCGCGCCATGTGGGACCCTAACCCGGTGGCTGGGGATGGAACTGGCCCTGCAGAATCTGTGGGCAGCTTCGCAACCCAGCGCTCAACCGCTGCACCACTGGGGAGGCCAGGTTAAGGAATCTCTACACAGCTCTCCATAGTGGTTGGACCAGTTTGCACTCCCACAAGCAGTGCAGGAGATTTCCTTTTTCTCCACATCCTCACCAACATTTGTTGTTGCTAGTTTTTTTTTTTATATATGCCAGTCTCACTGGTGTGAGATGGTATCTCATTGCATTTCCCTGATTGCAAGTGATGTTGAACATTTTTTAATATGCCTGTTGGCCATTTGCATTTCTTCTTCAGGGAAGTTTCTTTTAGCTCTTCTGCCCATTTTTTGACTGGATTATTTTCTTTATTTTTGTTGAGTCTCATCAGCTCTTTGTAGATTTTTGTGATCTGTCCTTTATCATTAGTGTTGTGTGCAAAAATTTTCTCCCAGTCAGTGGGATTTCTCTTTGTTTTGGTTATTGTCTCTTTTGCTGTGCAGATGCTCTTTAATTTGATGTAGAGGGATGCCCTTTCTTTTTAAAGATTGATTTATTTATGCATATAAGAGCTGGGATACAGGCCAGAGGTGCAGGAGTTGAGAGGACTCACAGGAGACAGAATGGGTAACAGAACAAGCAGATCTACCAAAGTATACTGCTGAGGGTATCAGCAGGTGAGTCAGTAGAGGTCTGCTGTGCTATGTGGGTTCCTCCCTTGTCGGCCGGGTGTGGGGATCTAACTCTCGCTGCAGAGGCTGCAGACAGCTTCATAGGTTGCATCTTAACCCCTTGTGCCACCAGAAGGCCCCTAAGTGGATGTTCTTATCTTCGGCTTTCCTGATCTTTAAAACATGTCTAATTGACGTGGGACACTAATATCTACAAGCTGGTCATTCAGACAGCATATTAGGAAAACATTTTTTCTGTCCTCAGCCATCAAAGTATTACCAGGTTCTTCTCCTTTATTCCCATGTTTCAGGAGGGATATCCTGTCCTGTATATTTTTACCTCTGCTGAGTGATCATCTCTTACCTCCATTTATTGTCCCCTCATTATTTGTAACCTGTAGCTTAGGGTCTAGGTTTCGTTTACTCTTATGTCATGGTAAACTCACTTTTTCTTTTTTTTTTTAGATTTATTTATTTATGCATACAAGAACTGGGGTATAGGCCAGGGATGTGGTGGTGGGGGTGTGAGGATTCACCAGAGACAGAGTGGGAAACAGAACAGGCAGATCGAGTGAAGGTAGCTCCCTGGTGGCCAGGGGTCGAACTCGTGCTGTAGAGGGTGTGGACAGCTTCAGAGGTTGTGTCTTAATCCCTTGTGCCACCAGGGAGGCCCTAATTTCAGTTCTTCAATATATTCACTGTGTATCTCACCTCACTGTCCAGGAACACTCTGTGGTTACAGTACACTGTGCAGTTTGATTAACATGGCCAGTGCGTTTTTTTATTTTCTCACATGTTGATATCTGCTATTATCTCATAATGATTAGAACTTATATTTTATGTGGAAGGGCTAAGTGTTTGGGACTTGAGTGATGTGTAACCAGATAGTACAATCTCTTGGTTTTTTCCTTCTCTTTTTATCCATGTTGATGTGTACCATGTACATTCAACATGCTAGTGACATAGCTCCTTGAGCACATGCCAGGTATGTGTTTACTGTTTTGCCAACCAGGTTATACACTCTTTGAGGAGCAAATTTTACTCATCCTTTTATTCTTCTCATCAAAAAGACTTCCAGATTTGGGCCTCCCTGGTGGCGCAAGGGGTTAAGACGCAACCTGTGAAGCTGTTCGCCGCCTCTGCAGCACAAGTTCAATCCCCAGCCTGGGAGCAACCCACATGGTGCAGCAGACCTCTCCTGACTTGCCCGCTGCTCCCCTCAGCAGTGTACTTTGGTCAG